CACCACTGTGCGTCATAAAGCAGGCAACGCAAATTACACTGTCTTTAGAGATCACTGAATTTGTGAACCTGACTATTCAGTATGCGTGCCAACACAGCACTATTTTAAAGAAATTAGTCTGGGTTTACTATTATTTATTTAATGGCCCTTTTCACATTGCACTTCTCTGCATGACTAGAGGACTCCATTTTTAAATATTACGAACTATAAGTGCTAAACACAAAGAATTCTGGCAAGCTATGAGGGTTGAACGCAAGTTAATTCTATTTTATATTGCTAGGATAATGGCAACGTCAGTCAACAAGCTGCTTTTTGATACCAAAACCAAGTCTATTCCAAAGCCATCCATAAGTAGGTCGCCCTGTCGCTGGACTGCAATATGACACACACATTTAAATATGAAATCAATTAGACTGGAAGAATGGTAAAGAAATAAGATGTAACCATGTATCCACACACACAGGAAAAAAAACCCAACACACGGATCAAACACTTCCTTCAGTGACAGTCCAAAGGCATCAATTCTACAAACAGGATTACTTTACACACACGATATTTTCTCTTCGTAGGTATGGATAGATGTAGTAGCTGTTATTGTGTCAATCTTTAAGTTGAACTGTGTTAAAGATATTTCAAGGCAGCAGTTTTCAGTTTAATGTAAAGGGAAAAGCCAAAAACGCTTGGCAGACAATAAAAACAAACTTGCATATTTAAAGGCAATTATAGTGAAATACTCCGTAATCACAGAATTGTAAGAAATCAAGGAATAAAGGTTAACATCTTTTGGTTAATTCTATTTAAAGGTACATGAATTAAAAGATTTGCATTACAAGTTCTGATGTAAAGTAAGTATTTTCATATACTATTAACTTGCAAAACAATTGCAGTGAAAACTCCAAAAATATTAACGAGACTCTATCCACATAGAAATTAGATGAAAGCTGAGTTTCTCCATTCCAGAGAAGCATAATATTCTAATAAGAACTATCCTAATCTTCACCCAGCAATAATTTCAAGATGATATTATTATTCTCATTTCCTTGAATAATATCCATACTCCAGGGCCATTTTCCTTCTCATATTCAATATCATGCATGCTTGTATCAAGATTCCTTTCTTCATATCCTGTCACAGTATCAATCACTGCCTCCTGTCCACTCAATCCACTTTTGATTTATCAGCCGCCGTCTTTCTGGACTCCATAACTCGACCCAAACCATTTTAGCAAGACATTGACAAATAGCACCCAGTATCACATCAACCTGTTCCACTTAGTAAACTAAGAAACAGTAACTGTGACATCTCTGCATAAGTATTCCATTCTATTCCCCAGACTGATGTATATTAATGAGGAGATGGTATTTGAAATGCTTCTTCCACATCAGCATCTAATATGATCAAATTAGGAAATGGGATGATTTATTAAATTTCGTAGAGCTGAAATATTTCTTTATATCACTATATGTGTGGTTTCAGAAAGTGAGCTGTTGCTTTCAATTTTTCTACTGAGGATGTGCCTGCATTTCACAGACGAATTATTGTCTTTAAAAAGATTGCAAGAAGGCGAAATGTTATTAAGCAAATGCTCAGTAAAACAAACTAAATCGGTTTTAAAATTCCTAATTTAATGTAAATCTTGGTTGTTTTGCTGAAATTCAGTTTGTGATCTTATTAAGTCATATTTGCATTGTACTATCTTGCTGTAGGACAGCTTTAAATTTATAGCATTACTAGGAAGCCCCACTTTCTTGACTCTAAAAAATGCATCTAAAATAAAATAGTTATAATATGCACAAGTTTTCTTATCTTCTAAAATAAAGTACAAAAAAAAATCATTTTAGGTTACAAACAATACTTACTCAAAATATTTTTAAAACATGTCATTATAAAAATCTAACTTTTCAAATTAAAACTTGGTATTTCAGTATTTTACACAGTCAGAGCTCTGTAAATCAAACACTCAAATAAAACACCTATGTTAGAGAAGTTACTAAAAAAAATTACATTGCAGCCACATATACTTTTACTGGCACTTTCACTACCTTGAAAAACAAAATATCTTAATTTGATGGAGGACTGTGGGGAGAAAAGACATTATGAGATACAGAATTCATGCCATCTGCATGACTTATACCAAAACCAAATCCAGTGATTTAAAGATACCATGTAATGGATCTTAACTTCCAATATGAAACTAGTTTTCTAGTGTCAGTCCCATTTCCACTGGGGGGGGAATCACAGTTGCTCAAGTCCTAAAGGTGGTGCTCTGAAGGTGCAACCACAATGTTACAAATCCAAGCAGCACAGAGATGATCTTCACTTCGTTGCTGTATCTCATATTGCTGCTTTTTGGGTGGGTCTGTAGATTTTTACTCCCTGTCACTGGCAATTCAGAAGTTGGCGATCAACCGGAATACATTAGTGGGTAGCACACACTCTTTACTACGTTAACACAAGGTGCCTGCCTGAGCTACTTCTGGTCATTTTATTACCTAGTTTACATAATAAGTGTTTTCTTCAGTACTTACCTTTACAAGTCATATGAAAATAAGCTGCCCCACCCCAAAGCAAAAAAATTAACAAATTACAGATGCCAAGTTCTTATGAAAATTCCACTTCAGCACTACAAATACATACATTTCCTAAGACAAATATCACCTCTTCACATTTAACAGCTTTGAATGGATTTTTCTTGTCTGACTGCTTTTTTAATTCATTTCAACTTCTGGGATCCACAATCTCCACCAGCAAGGGCTTCCACAGCCTAATTATGAGATACAGAAGTACCATCTCCTTTTGTTTGACTAGAATCTGCCGCCAGCTGACTTCATTCGCTTCATGCCTGCCCCAGGTCTTACATTGGAGGAGATAGGAAACACTCATTCCATAAGCATCTTTTCACACCATTTTTTTTTTTTTTTAATGCCCCTCCATTATATTCCCTCTTTCCCCCACGATCTGTTTTCCAGCCTGCAGAATCATAATGTACTCAGCCCTCTCAGGAAAGCTGTGCATACCTCCGATCGAGTATTTGTCTCCGATCGAGACAGATTTTGAGATACCATAAGCATCTTTTCACCCCTTTTTTTTTTTTTTTAATGCCCCTCCATTATATTCCCTCTTTCCCCCACGATCTGTTTTCCAGCCTGCAGAATCATAATGTACTCAGCCCTCTCAGGAAAGCTGTGCATACCTCCGATCGAGTATTTGTCTCCGATCGAGACAGATTTTGAGATAGCAAAGAAAGGAACTATGTAGCATTGCTGCGACTGCCTCAACGCTAACAAACAGGGAAAACACAGGCCTCTAGTAGCAGCTTTCTGCAACCTATTTAACTCTACTCCAGAAATAAGATTAATCCATGGCTTCCCAGTGTAACATTACAGCAGAGAGCAGACTTGGAAAAAAATTACAATAAAGGATTCAATGTGTCCTATTGGTTTTAGTTTTATGCTTTTAACATGCCGAAACACTTCTGTTATAATTTAGGATGTTATTTATAAATATTTTCCCTGAAGAACCATGTCTGTGAATAGAAGTATCATTTAAAGTGACCTGCAGCTATACCTTCATAGCTATAGTACTGAAAAGCTAGTATATTTTATACATAAAATATTTGATACACAATATTTCTTAGCACAAAATGAAATAAACAGTAGCCATGTTTTTAAAGTTTTAGGTGCCTAATTTCCATATATTGCAATGACAATTAACATCGGTAAACCCCTTGGAAAAGATGACTATTAGACTAGGTCTAATGAGATCTGCAATTTATACTTATTACAATAAAACAGAGATGTTTAAATCAGGTTATCATATTTCCTAATACTGAGTATCTGACATACTGAAAAACACCTTCATTTTCACCTTATTCTTTTGACATCTCTTGTTTTAAAATTGATTGTGTTAGCAAAACAGTGGATATTCACAGGAATATTTCTACACACAGCACAGTAGCTTATCTGGGGTCTACAGCTCAGATGGTAAGTATACTCAAAGAGAGATCAGACAGTTTAAATAACCAAATTGCTACTACAAAGGCACGGTAGCAAAAAGTGTCCAGGCAACTGTTCTAATGAACAGCTGTGAATAAGTCATGAGAGAATACAAATAAGAGAAAGCAAAACATTCACATCTTTCAACAACAATTTTTCAACATTTAGAGGCAACAGCTCTACTGATCTGGTAAATGAAAATGACATGTTTTACTACATTCTTGGTACAGGTACATAAAATTACCTGGCTTAAGATCTGTAAACACATACCGAAAAAGCTTTGATCTGCCTGATACACTCAATATTTAATTTAAATTCAATAGAAAATGCTAACAGTAATTCTGATATCCAGGGATAAACTTTATTTAAACTTTTTAATTGAAAAACACACACACACAAAAAATGAGCTTCTTTTAATTACAAAAGTAGGAAGCAGGTTTTATAATACAAATTGCAACATCTGATTAAGATTTAAATATTTAAATTATGTTTATTATTGAAAACATCCATTTGTCACAATCCAATTTATCAAAAATTTCAGCACCATAGATATCTCTAAAGAGTAAGAAAAATTTGCATAACTAAATACTCCTCTCTTTCCAAGGGAAATACAGATGAGAAAATAACAGTTTAGTCTGATCTTCAGGGAGCCAACGTTATGCACGGGAGTTATGGAAATCAGTAATCAAAAAAATCCACAAGAAGTTTTCAGATTATTATAGTTAAGCCAAGGTGATTTATTAATGTTTTCTGCACTTGGTCAAATGCAAAAATATATAACATCTTCAAAACCAACTGTTCCACCAGTGTAATTTAAAGATTTAGTACATCAAAAGCAGAGCATGGAGATTTCAAATTAGGAAGAGTTTCAAGTGATGTACAGTTTAGACGATCACTTGCAACCATTTTTTCTGGTATATTCCAAACTCAGTAACTATATGGAGATTTTAAATGAATGTTTTTACAGCAGAAATAATAATTCTTTTTCCTAGAAAAGAGTCTTACCTTCTTGTTCTACTTTTTGATCTCGATCTTTGAGACCTGTAGGATTTGCCTCTGCCCCTCGATCGGCTACGACTGCGTTTTCTTCTAGAACCATATGAAGAACTACTGCTTGATCTGTGTCTGCGTCTAAAACAAAACCATGCTATTAGTATGCTACTGCTTCTAAAAAAACCCAACCAAACAAAAAACCAAACAGGAACAAAAAGAACTAACAGTTTACTTAAAAGGGACATACAAACCTGTGTTTTTTGTATTATAACATGTTGTGGAAGTCTCAAATACCACTATTACACTGTAATAAGAAATTCACATACACATGGGCAATGCCTGTCTTAAAGAACTTACATTCTAAAAACATACATCTCAAGACAGAAAAAGGGCAGGAGGAGAAACAGAAGTTAACTGATTTGCCCCAAATCATGCAATACCTCAAGGGCAAAGCCAGGAACACAACCCAGCTCTCAACGGTTTTTAGTCCCATGACCCGCTCATTGGAACTCACTGCCTCTTTGCCAAATCTAAGGTTAAAGAAACATTTAGACCTACATTCTCAGGAGGATTTACACAGAAATACACCATATGGGATAAGGACTACAACTCCAGCGCTAAAAATGAAAACCATAAAATGTTAATTTCTGCATTGCTGCTCTATGCAATTATTTCCAGACATACTATGTACATTCATAAAATGTAAACATAAAAATGCATTTTGAATTATGTACACCTAAAAATACTTTACGTATCTCTCTATAAATTTACAGATGTGTAACGTCAACTTTCCCTGTTTTGATGTAGACAGTTCCCCCCCCCCTTTTTTAAGTACAATTATTAATAAAATAATCAATATTAATTTATTCCACCTGAGTTTGGAAGTTTTCTCCTGAGTTCAGTCAGGAGTCAGAATGGTGTCTTCCCTTCCCTCTCCCTCCCAACCTCCCCACTTCACTTATTCAAAGAATAAATCCTTATACACATAGGAGAAAGGTGAAAGAATACATACTAAATACATAAATTAAACCAACCAATCCCAAAACTGATGGGAGGAATACTTTCCAATTCTTAATCTTTTGTAAGGTTTCATCTCGATATCTGTCTCCCCGACAGCTAACCAAATAACAATTACAATCCTTATGAGAACCTCGATATTTTTGGCCTTTATTACGTTTTAGTAATATTAAAATATAACACCACGTAAGAAACGTTTCTGTAATTCAGGATGTACTCAATGTGATATGCGCTTGTGTAACATAAGGGAAAAGGTGCTGTATTATGTACAAGTAGTGTTGCAGTAGTACAAACTGGAAAAGATATATAGGTTAACTACTACAGAACAGGTCTTCATCTGAGAAAGGAATGCAATGTTCCTGCTAAAGGAAGATGAAGAACAGTAATCTTAGAGATTACTTGCTGGCTGGGGTTAAACCACAACACTGCTGCTTTTGATTCCTAAGGGCCAGGGATAAATCCAGCAGGACCCCAGCATGTAATAGTGACTTAACTGCCAGGAGCAAATGTCCTAAACTAAGGGCAAAGCAAAGGTGCCAACTAGATCCTAAAAGCAGACACTTTCGTCTTTTCCAGATTCAATTTAAGTCAACTGGTCTTCGTCCAGGCTCTAATCTCCCTTCAAGCTCTGTTTTTATCTGCGAGATAGCCATGCCTGCACTGGACTAAAGAGATTCATAAAGCTGCATGTCATCAGCATATTGTTGGCATCGAAGCCCATGTCATCTCACTGTGTCCCCTAAGGGCTGTATGTAGATGCTAAGCAGGAACAGAAGAAAGGGGGGATGGAAATAAACAAATAAGAAAGCCCCCACAAGCAGCCAACTTGCCCCTCATTGACACACTCTTCTGCCAGCTAAAGAAAGGTTTGTCAGGAGCAGTTTCTAATATATTTACAGTGCAGCTAGACACAAGGAATATTTTCGAGCTCCACTTATTAATAACTTGACCACCACCTGTTCAGTTTGACTCCAGGATCACCACAAGTCAGACAGAGATACCCAGGGTATCTAAAAAGGTCAGGTACTGAAAGGGGCCGCTGATGAAGGAATTACAGTGTTAGGTCAAGAAAAAATTGGTAGATACAGCCACATGATCTGTGTTCTAGACACCTGGCTGACTACTATATTCTGTACGCATAAAAAATAGCAAGAATAATGGTGAAAACAAGCTGTTATAGCAAACATACAGACCTACTGTAAAATCACCCCAAGTCTTTCTACTGAGAAAGTCTGCCTTGTCTGGAAAGACCTACTTGGTTTATTACAACAGAAAAAGGTAACAGAATAGCCTATAACTAGTTCAATGAAACTACTTTTCAAACTGGCGTTAATATATGAACTATTATATTTCAAAAATAGATCAGCAATTCATTCTTCAGAAGGAGGAGAAAGAAAAAGTTATTTTAGTTGGTTGTTTTTTGTTTCTTTTAATAAGGAAGTTACTTTTAGATTTGCATATACACTGGTTTCATATTCTTGGAAGAGGGGGAGGTGTTCTGGTTTTTTTGATGGTGGTTTTGGTTTTTTTCTTTAAATATAAGAAAAAAATATTGCCATATCTTCCAAGATTCAGAGCAAACTCCGCTATAAAATTCCAACCTAGAACTGACTACACATTGGATTCAAACACTTCTAGCTTTGTACTATAATATGAAAGAGCCTATTTGTAAACAACTGCAACAGACAGTAAATTACTATAAATGCACCTTTTCTCATAAGAATGTGAACGAGACTGGAGATCTCGAGACCGTGATCTTGACCTTGATTTCCTTCCAGATTTTTTACGGTTGTACGTTCTACTGTCTGAGGAGCTACTCGAAGACGAACGCCTGCGGTGTTTCTTTTTCCTTCTGCTTCTGTTCTCTTCTTCTGTGTCCGAGGAGCGACGTCCCATTTTTAAACTATGTAAAAACAGAAATTCTAAACTGTAAGAAAGTCTCACGCCTACATTACATTGTTATATGTATAAAAAAAATAGTGTGTGTGCATATATAAACATATCATTACACCATTTTTTAAAAGTTATGTGCATAGAAAATTTGTTTTGCATGCAAAAAGAAAAATCAAGATTTTAATGACATCAACAAATTCATGTTACCAAGTAACTTGAAATTTACAGTCAGCAAATTTGAATGAATTTATTATAGTATCAAATATTTGTTGTAAATTTTCACAAGATATTTCACAACCATTTAAACAGATAAATGCACTGATAAAATCATTTATACATCAGAACATATTTTCATTTTAGCTTATTTTTACATTTTTGCCTTGGATATTAATTTTTCAGGAATTTGGGGAGTAATGTAGAAGACACGTCTAATATCTGATATGTCACTTTAAGATGCTACACAGTCAGTAGTACAGCATCTTTAATATGTTTAATTTACAGTTATAAGTGAAGATCCATAATACACAATCAATAGAATACAGTTATTGATTTCAGCTACTGATGTGACTCACTTCATGTGTTTTTAGGTTGTGCAATTAAAATAATGTACATTATTGTCCTACTTGTCAGAATTATAACATACATTGAGAGAAATATTCTAGGAAGTTATTTTTAAATTAATTTAAACTACAGTTAGGTTGATTTGTGTTCTCAATTTAGATTCACTCAACTTTAAACTGCTTTAATCAGACATATAAATACTAAATTTCAGAAATGTTTCTTGATTACCAGTGTGTTTACTTGGACAAAGTTTACAGACTTTGATAACAGATTTGAAAAAAAAAAAGGGGGGGTGGGAAACCCTGCCATTCATTTAATTGTTGCAGAGACTATCATCTTCATTTGGAACTTCTAAGAGATCAGTTTCATTGCTTCACAAGTAAAGAAATGTTTTATTTCTTGACTTTTCATGCTGGAAAAAGTGCATACTGCTTTAAAACTGTTTTTCTGTCCCAGCAATATCAGCTCTATCCACCCAAGACTTCAAGACCCCTCTTCACACACACTTCAGCTAATGGCAGTTAGTAACAGCCCCTCTTCCCAAGAACAAACAGTTATTTCAAGGCTCCCTAGCTACTTCTGCACTGGGAAAACAGGAACTCATAATTCTTTAACATTCATATCAACAGCGAGATCACAGATATATTTTGCCACAATATCATCTGTCTTTAACCAACACTGAAATATTACAGGGCCTCATATTTCTAGCACAGACAGGTTGAACTTGTTCATTTTCTGCATACAAACTTGTGCCCTTCCTCACACCTTTTATCACGCAGGCAGCAGACTCCAGTCTCCAGGGTAGAGATGGAAAACAGAACAAAAGAGAAATTCACCATTAGGTCTGTTTATGCTTAAATTCACCAAAGGCTTATATGCAAATACAAGTCTTGATTACGCTAGGCCTTTCGGTCAAAATGCATGACTGAGGGAAAAAAAAAAAAACAAAAAAAAAACCAACCATATTTCGTTCCACAGGCCAAGTCTCTTAAACCTATATTTTCACCCTCAAGTTCCCAAGACAGCTGAAACTGTTCTGCACACAACCATACTTGCTGCAGTCCTACACTGATATATCTGAAGACCCAAGCAGGCACAGGATTTGCAAAGTCAGTGACCAACTTTCCCAAGGGAGCCTTTCAGGTAGCTACATTCCAAGTACAATAAATATACAGACAATGCTGCGCTTGGCAGAATTTGAAGACTATGCCAGAGATGCAGGTTTGCTTGTCAGTTTGAGAGACACTCCTCCCACGCTGCTGAAGCTCATCCTAAGGACCGCCAGACCCCCGGAGCCACAGCGCGGAAGCTACAGCAGGCACAAGTCAGGAGTCAAAGGGACGTCCTCCTGGAAAGTGCCAAGTTCTGACCTGGCATCTACTTCAAGGAGAATTTCCATATTTTATCCAACAGTAGTTTAATGCAAAATACAAGACAGTCTCTTAGGTATCTGGATTGTCTCTGATGTTCACTAGAGTTCACTTACTGCCACAGTCACAACAGTAGCTAGGTAAACTCATTCCTATTTAGCCAAATCTCTGTGGATTGCAGATGGCCCTTCGGTACGCAACTCAGAGCTATCAGTTCCACTCCTGCAGCCAGGAGTGCCTATAAATTAGTCACTCCTGAGCTTTGCTGCAGTAAATCCCTCTGTATGTGTACTTCACTTCTCAATAGTTTCTGTTTTCAGCACTTTAAATTGGTCCTTCAGCTAACAATCTAAACAAAGCGTTTTTGAAATATTCAACTTCAAACAGCAAATCACTGTGCACCTAAACCAGCAGAATTTTAGGAGGATGAACTGCCATGCAAGAGAATTTATTTTTTAAATGAAGTTATTTGGACCATCTTACTACAGTTACTCCACACAGATTTTGAAAAAGACAGAGGCAGTACTTTACAGACTATTTTATCTCATTTAAGGAACTATGACTTTAATTTACAATTCTGTAGAGGAATGCCAATTTATATCAACACACCATCTTGTGCAGTCATTTTATTTCTTTCCCCCCTCGTGCTAAAAGATTTACAGAGCTCCAAGGCACTAACAGTTACTGAACAGTAAAATAAAGCTCTTCATATATATACTGATAGAATAATCTTCAAATGAACATGAACCTGAATCTCAAATTTAAAATAAGCTGAACTACAACGCACAGATTTTAAGTTAAAAGCTCACAGACCACAGCTCATGACAGCAAGATTAATGAAAGAGACCAGAGAAACAAAGAGTACAAAAGACATTTCTGCCGAGATATTTGCCACTTGATGTGGATATTGTTATGAGCCAGCACATTACACTTCAACATATATATCGCCTGTTGTTTAACTTCCTTTTTTTGCCATCGGCTTTTTTCCCCATTTGGACATATAACTGGATTAAGTAGCATATAAAACTAGTGAAACGTATTATGTAAATCTCAATTTTGTGTCTTCAGGACCAAAGAAGAACTACAGGCCATGGCCCTTCCCTATTAGGGGACAAGCCCTGCAGCATACGTGCACATACTTGAGTCTCAGGAGCTCCAGGAGCACTGGGTTTACCACGGACGAGCTACAGGACAAAGGCACATGGGTGACTGATGCCCTACACGTTCTAGAGTTTCCACTGAAAAAGAGGCTGCCAGAAGGAGACTGTTGATCCTGGAACAACCTGTGCAGCTGAGTCCTAGTAGGTGTCTCCTACAGGGATATCTCAAATACACAGACAACAGACAAACTTGTCTGACAGGCACTATCCTTCACGGGGTCTTTAGACCATCCCTTCAGTATGTGACACACATTTTCCTGCGAAGATGGCTCTTATAAACACTTGAGAGTAGTCAATTATCAAGACCTATAACAGGTTAGTGTTCTCCCTGCCTACTCCCTCCATACTCCTGAACAGACCTGGGAAAAGAGTTTGCCAGCATTGACTGATCACACCAGCTGAAGCCTGATGGACAGAATTGTTCTGGTGGGTCAGCAGTGGTCCATATACCATTTCCAAATAGTACTATATAATCGTACCTACCGATTGCAGAGGATAACTAAGATCACTCAGGGAACCTTAATTAGCAAAAATGAGGCGGGGGAAGAAAAGGCAAACAGAAAAAAAATGAGACTCATTACACGGCATCATATGCTGAATCTCATGGGTTTTTACTACCTGGCTGTTTCCATACAAAATCTGTAAATCCACCACAAAAACTATAGGAAAAAAAAAAAAAAACTACCATAGAGTTAATGGAGTGCCGTAAGAGAATTCACCCTTACGGCTATGGGCAATCCCATTTTTAAGGCTCCTTACCCTTACTTCTCAGACAGAAGTGTTAAGCCGTATGTATTTGCAATGGGAGATATGCTTCTGCTAACCCCTCTTGAGGTGTAGGCACTGTAGAAGGTATGGCTTTCAGTGCCTGGCGAGACACAAGAGGCTTTTATCCTGACTATGGAGCAATATTAGGAGGAGAAGAGGAGGAAGGAAAGGCATATTAACAAGCACCAACAGCAAACGAACGGTTTCAGATGAACTTGGAGCCTGGGTGACATTCCAGGCATTTGTGGAGAGACGGTCTCCTGACCATCACATCAGTGAGGCTCATTCTCTTCCACACCCGGCCCCAACCTTCCCCCTGCGTCATTCTCATCCGCTCTTAGCACATTCCCTCACCCACTTCTGAATTTAGATCAAACTACTCTGGTCAAACAGCGAAGGAACACTGAGAATTCAGGAGATGCTGTCTCAAGATATGAGGACCCACAGCAGCTACATGGAAACCCATGCTGAAGCCTGAGCTGGAACATAGCATCATCAAATTAATCAGCTACTTCAGTATTTTTGAAGACTAGTGAATGTCTGTGAACTTCAACATTTTGAAGGTTTGCCATTAGTCTGAAATTGAACAGCTTTTCAATAGAATGACTAACAGCTGGACCTGATAAATTTTAAGTCCCCATTTGGAGCACAGGCATGTTGGAGTATCTAAAAGACAGGTCTCCAGGCCTTTGTTTTTTAAATAGTTAATTTTTGTTTGTTTCTGAAAACTGATGCTGCAACACTTTGATTTAAATGAAAACAAAGTGCGCACTCTCATACATGCATTTCGCCAAGAGAAATGCCAACGTCAAAAATTTCAAACCAACTATTTATATTTGGCAAAGTTACAAACAGCGCTATCAAGCTCACCTGCAAACAGCTCAGTAACCTCCCACCCTACATGTAACAATGTAAAGAAAACATGGAGGACATAGGAAACAAACAGACTTCTCTAGAAAACCCATTCAAAGAGAGTAAGGTACACTTTCAAATGTAGTAAGAAGCATACATTCATTCATCTGACCTTGTTCAATCTTGTTTCATAGATTTTTAGAATTATTTCAAGTGTGCAATACATTTTTTCAAGCCTGAGTTTCAAATTATTATTGTACTTACTGTTGCAGATTGTAAGAAAATATTATCTTTTGGTTGT